TAGTGTCCCTCAGCTGGGTAGTGGGGTGACAGGGGGCATCACCTGCATGGGGACACACTGACCCCATCTCCTTTGTTTTCTCAACTCTCTTCAACTCACGGCCTGGCTTGCTATAAGTATCTGTTTTCCCCAAATCCCAGCGTCCTGCTGGGTCTAACAGCAACAGCTGTAGGCGAATCCCACCAGCACATATTTCTTCTCCATTCCAGACTCTCTCCAGAGCCACAAAAATACTTGCATCAGACTCTCCAAACAGATGAGCCACCAAGTAGGTGGAGAGACACGTGGGTCTTGGAATCAGGGAAAATGGAAGAAATTAGAAGGCCGACCCAGACCCTGGGCTCAGTGGCCTTGTTCTGACCCAGAAAGAGGGGCTAGCTGTTAGGTCTGTGCTTGCTGGGCCCTAAATTTCAGGGCCTCAGGGGAAAGAGAAGGAAAGGCCAGAGGGAGAAGGGAAAGATAGCAGCTTTTGCTGTCTTACCTGCTGGGTTTTTAAAAGCAAGGCACCAAAGACTGCGGATGTAACCCATCATGCACCGAAGCCTGGGTTTGATCCTAGCACAGCACAGACCAGGAAGCAGGAGGTTCAGGATTGGGTTCAAGGCCATCCTTAACTACAGAACAAGGCTGGAGGTTGGGGAAGAACATTTTTGAAAATCTACCAAGTCAAATATTAATATTTTTATTTCTGACTGACCTGTAGCTCAGGTTGTCTTCTAACTCATAGAGATCCGCCTACCTCTGACTCCCAAGTGCTGGAATTAAAGACACACACCACCATGCCTAGCCTGACTTTAAAGTTTTGAATCTTACAATTCTCCATCTATTCTTGCCATGAGGGTGGGGCTAATTAGGAAATGCAGATTCATTTGAGAGCCTATAATTGCATCTGTTTCTCACTCGTCTCTCTCTCTCTCTCTCTCTCTCTCTCTCTCTCACACACACACACACACACACACACACACACAGAGAGAGAGAGAGAGAGAGAGAGAGAGAGAGAGAGAGAGAGAGAGAACAACAGTCCCTCAGAAAAGACCATTTTACTGTCCAGGGGCTATCTGGCAACACATGGAACATTTTTGGGTTATTCCAAATTGTGAAGAAAGAGCTACTGACAACTGTGGGGCTGAGACCAGGTACCTAGACCAGACATATAGCTGGACACGCTACACCACCAGGACATCCCTGTTGTAGGATTATTTTAACTGGGCAAAGATATGTCACATTTTTTTATGGTTTGGAATATTACATTAACTGTGTAAAGGTGTGTTACATTTGTTTATGTTGCATCTGTTTAAGGGTGTAAGAATGTGTATTTAATGATGTAAAGATGTGTTACATTTGTTTCACCTTACCTGCCTAAGGTGATCAGTCTAGTAAAAAGCTGAATGGCAAAAAGCTAGGCAGGAGAAGGACAGGCAGGGGTGGTGGGCAGAGGGAATAAATAGGAGGAAGAATCTAGAAATGAGAGCAGAGGAGAGAATGAAGGGGAAAGGGAGGGGCAAACACACATATGCACACACACACATACATGAATGCACACACCATATCCACACATGCACACATACACACCCACACACACGCACAGGCATAGGTGCACATATGCATCACACACACACACACACACACACACACACACACACACACACGCTCAAATGCACAGAATAACCACTCATGAATTAAACTCACGAAGATCCTCCTGAGACAGGGAGAACAGGCTGCCAGGACACTACAGCCCCTGAGACTCGGAACTCAGGGTTTGTCCTAGGAAGAGTAGCTTTCTCAGGTTTCGTGCTCTCCCCTTGAACTAAAGCATGCACCACTTGCAGGACAGGGATAAGTTGGGGCAAAGTCACAACATCAAAACATCTACATTCCACATAGTCCAGATAGTACAAGCCAGGAAGAGGGACAAGCCATCATGTGTAATTCATTCATAAATCGCCAGCACTCCCCAGACAACTTTCAAATAGACTGAGGCACTTCCTTAAATAGTTATTGGCTTGATGACCTGTTTGTTTAGTTAATTAATTTTTTTAAAGAAAACAAATATTAAAACAGCAAATCAATGCAGACAGCCTCAAAAGAGCCATGGCTCAGTGAAGTTTTATAATATATGGCCACGATTACCAAAATTGTATCCACAAAAGCACAACTAATTAGAAATGTCAGAAATAGCTTCTGATTGAAAAACAGATTTCAGGTCCACCCTGCCCCTGAGCTGTGGCCATTAAATCAGCACAATAGATAGAAAAGCATTTGCTTAAAATAGAGTTTTCAGCAACTGGCGCTCCAGTGTTCTTCCTTAAATGTGTGTTAGCCCCAAACCTTTTCTTCCAAGAAAACATTGGCTGAACAATTCTGTAGCTGTTCTTATAGGACAAAAAAAAAAAAAGCTATTTTAAGATGTTGCATTTTGAGCCCTTTGACTTTTTTAACTTTTAGTGGCTTTCTGCTTTAGTAATAGCCTTCAGATTAGGTTAGCACTTCCTACCCCTCCTCTCAAGGGCTTCCTCTGAACCAAGTTTAGAGGACCTTCAAAATCACAGTAGCCAAAGGGCTCCCCAGCTTAATGGACTCCAGCTGCCCTTCTCAAAAGAGGGTTTAGTCAAAATGCATCAGCAAAAATATCTGCTCCATGGCAAGTGTTACAGCCACTGGCCACCAAGAAGCCTAGCATGGCATGACTGCCTCAAGTGTCAAGAAAGAGGGGTGAGTGTAGACTGCCAGAAAGCATCACTTTATACAGGATAATTTTTTTTAATGTGCACGTGTGAGTGCAAGTGTGTGTAGGGGGGCTGTGCATGTGCACGTATGTATGCATGGACATGTGGGAACCAGAGAAAAACCTCGGGTGTCATTCTCAGGAATGCCATCTACCTCCATTGAGACAAGGTCTCTCATTGGTCTGGAGCATAGCCATTTGGGACTAGGCTAGCCAGAAAATCCCCTCCTCCCTGGCACTGAGATTTTGAAAATACACCTCCACATCTGCTGTTTCTTCATGGGCTCTGGGTATCACACTCAAGTACCCTGCTTACAGAGGTGAGTGCTTTATTAACTGAGCTATCTGGCCAATCCCATAATAATATTAATAATTATAGCTGGAAGTTTTATGTGTTCTGCCCAGTCCCACTGGACCAGTTTCTCTTCCATCCATTGGTCCCCACAGCCACTTATAAAATAACCACTCTGGGGCTTAATAGTAATTACAAACTGCTTGGCCTATTAGCTCAGGCTTATTATTAACTGGCTCTCACAACTGAAATTAATCCATTTCTATTACTCTATAATTTACCATGAGGCTCGTGGCTTGCTACCTCACATCTTGCTTCACCAGCATCTGCTGGCTTCTGTTTTGACTCTGCCCTTCTCTCTGTATCTCTGCTTGAATTTCCTGCCTGGCTCTATTAACCCTTGCTATTGGCCAAATCAGTTTCTTTATTAACCAATGGTAATAAAAAACATTCACAGCATACAGAAAGGCATCCCACATCAAATGATTAGGGAGCAGTCACGGAAAGGAAGTGACATTTTTTGTGTGATCAAAGAATAGAGTAGACTTAAAGGCAGTGGCTGCTGTAGCATGTCACAGAATAGACAGGTTACGTCACTAATGTCAGGTTAGTGCACTGTTTATAGGTAGGCAGCTAAGTACTGAACACATTAGTTCTGCTAATACTGAAAGGTTACTTTTGTGACCCACAGTTCTGTGGTGATGCTGAGCCTCAGAGATCTGCCATAAAGTTTCTACACCAAGCCTAATGTACCTGGAGAGGAGCCTGCCTGGGCTTATGTGTTGTTACCCTTCCTGCTGCTGGGACTGAACACCTGGCAATCAAAACCTATGGGAAGGAAGATTTATTTTGGCTCACAGTTGTGGAGGAATTTCAGGCCATCCTGTCGGGGAAGAGAGGGCAGAGGCCCTGGCAGTGGAAGCATGCATCGGAGGCTCCCCGTGGTCAAATCATGGTCAGTTATAACATTAATGGCTTATCCCTAGAGATCCACTTGCCACTCCAAAACAGTGTCACAAGTTGGGGACCAAGCTTTGAAAACAGGAGGCCCTGTTTTAGCACCCTGAAATCCAGGGATTTCCCTTCCTCTTGGCTGCTCTGCAGGGGAGTTGCCCCCAGGCATTCCCCAGGGGAAACAATGCCTGCTTGTCACATAGGTTCTCACGGTAGAGGAACAGTTTAGTTGGAAGGTGCAATGAATTAAAGATAGCTGTAAAATCGATGCTTGTGCCCCATCAAAAGTGACCTCTATTGTCCCCCGCTCTGAGTGAGGGCTGGTCCTCTGGCTTACTGGCACCAACAGTAGTAGTGCCGGAGTGAGTAAAACTGTATAACATCCAAGGCCACGTCTTAGGAGAGCTGGGACTTCTGGTTATGTGGACTCAGAACCCTTCCTCTGAGAATAACACCATGAAAGAAGCCACAGAGAGGAAGCTGCTGCTCCCCACTTTCATCAGCAGCTAACAGGAGCGCTCCTGGGAGTACGGGTAGATGTCACTGCCCATTCACAATAAGAGAAGAACTTCCCAGCTCCACCCAGGCAGCCCCAGAATCGTGAAACGTCTAAGTGGTGGGGTCAGACTTGATGGCACACAGCTGTAGTCCTAGAACCTAGGAAGTGAGGCAGAAGGATTGGCACAAGTCTGAGATGAGCCTAGACTACCTAGTGACTCCAGGCCAACAGAGTGGGCCTATCTGAAAAATAAATAAAGGAAATTAGTGGTGCTACTGGTTGTCTTAATCTACCACATTTGGGGATACTGTGTTCTATATTAACAGATAAGTGCTACTGAATTTTATTTTCAACATACACACACAGAGACACACAGACACACAGACACACAGACACAGACACACACACACACACACACACAGAGAGAGAGAGAGAGAGAGAGAGAGAGAGAGAGAGAGAGAGAGAGAGAGAGAGAGAGAGAGAGAGAGAGAGAGAGAGAGAGAGAGAGAGAGAGAGAGAGAGAGAGAGAGAGAGAGAGAGAGACTCCCTCTTGTACAGAGAGATCTCACAGGTTTTCATGCATGGTATACACCTGGTGTATCAAGGTGAGCAAACACCACCAGTGGGATCTTTATCTTCATTTTTTGTGAAGAAAAATATAAGAAGGCTCTTTTTGTTAGATGTGTGGGGGGAACATTTGTGACTGTCCCTGGAATACAGTATGTTTGTTTCTTTCCACAATGTTCTTGGAACACATTTGTTTGTGAACATACAAGTTGACTAGGTTTTCATGTACCTAATGATCCAAGCATTGTCTCACCCAAGATGCAGGAGGGCAGGGTCTCTTAGTTAATAACCAACGAGCTAAAATCAGCAGGGAAAAAGCAGAAGCAATACCTTTCTCACATCCAGTTTACACAGTGTCTTTGCAGGTGAGCGGGCACAGTGAGTGAGTATTCTTAGAACCCCTGAGCCTTTCCTCTCCGGGTTATAGGAGCACCAAGGGCAACACCACCAGGTTTCTATCCCCATAAATATCCTGCCTGCTGGTGTGGTTTGTGTCTCCATATTAACACAGATGGTCACTGTGCAATGGGTTTATCTCTGGCAGGGCAGCTAATCCCAATGCATTCTCACACACCGGTACCAGGGTATGTGGTCTTGCAGCTGTTTGTTTGCTATCATGCCAGACCTGCACAGCCCTTGCTAAACCAAATGAAATGTCATAAAGTTAGGAGAACAAATAGTCTTCACCCATGACGTTTTCTTCCTGACACTCTCCGATAAACCAGGGAACAGCTGTTCTTCAAGCTGGCAGGTCATGTTTAACTTCACCTTTGGCAAAGGGCAGCATGGCTTCAAGCTGCTGGGAAACACAAGTCCTTCATCAAGTGTAGAGGTTGGGACGTCCCAGATCCATTGCACCTGATGGAAAGACATCTTGTTCCATTTGGACTCATGGCCTTGCGATGCATGGACACATCCCCAAGTGCACTCCATCACGCCCTCTAAAGCTGTGCTTGCTCTGGGCTGCTCCCGCAGGCTCCTGTGCTTCAGGCAGACAGACTGCCCTCACCTACACCCACCCCACTCAGTTAGGCCTCCAACTAGTTCTGGAACTCTGGCTTTGAAAGGAACACTCCTTTCTGGGTGGTTCAGAGGGGCACAGCAAGGGGTATATGGCTCTTTCTTTCTTGCAAGAGCTAAGCCCCAACACAACTCTTTCAAAGGGCTAGAGATGAGTCTCAGACACCACGGAGAACAGAGCGTCTATTTCTGCAGGTTCCTTAAGGCAACAGAGGAAGCTCCCTGGCCACAGGAGTCTAGTTAATGAGCAGGTTATACAATATTCATTGTGTTGAGTTAAACTCTTCAAACAGAACATCTAATTGCAAGAAGGAAAAAAAAGAACAAAATTACAGGCATTAAGACAACAAAGCTGAAGAAGAACCCCCTCTGTTGATAAACTGCCCTTTTGCTGCTTCCTGCACCAACTGCACACTGACAGGAGGTGCAGGGCATCCCTGGCCTCATCAGGAATTCTTATTAGCTCGATTGTGACTAACACACTTTGTGGAGCCACTGAGGGGCCCAGCCCAAGGGTCTCTTCAGAGGACAGTTTTCTTGTCACTTGCAGAAAGAAATTCAGCTAGACTCCACTTGAACCAAGATGTAGGCATTCACCTGTCTTTTTGACATGTACTCTCCCCTTCATCATTCCTGGCAATAGCATCTGCAGTAGGTTCACTAGTCCAGCAGCCAGGGACACGCCCACGGTAGTTGACAGGCAAATCAGAATTAGTAGCTGAGGAGTCCTGAGCTGGGTCTCCAAGTGGGCACTGGTTCCCTGGAGCCTCATTCCAGGCCTTAGGTTGGTCTTGCTAAGGTATCCCATAACACCCTCCTCCACTCTGTATTCCCAGCAGAGGGCCTTGATGCATCCGAGGGACTCCTGGCTGTGCCAGGGGGATGGAAGCCAGGAGTTGGATTGGCTGCCTCAGCTCCATTCCCAGGGAAGGTTTCAAGAGACCGGAAATGCCGAGGCTTGGCAATATGGGCAGTGTGCAGAGCAGGCCCCCTTGTGGACCTGTTAGAGACTGTCCTCTTGGCCTACAAAAGGAAAATGAAATCAAAGGAGCTGATTTCTGCCTGATTTGCAACTAGACTTGCAACACACTGTGTTCCATAGACTCCAGGCAGCAGTTGAAAAGCTAGCCTCTTGTTTGTCTAGAAGAGTCAGAGTAAAGGACCAAGTACATATGTAACTGTAATTGATGGGGACGGGTAGTTAGTGGAAAGTCCACTACAACATAGGAGCTACTTACAAGGACAAATTTGGGGTCTTTTAAGAGGCTTCCAAACCCAAACAGTGATTGGGGTTATATCATTTTTGTTGACTAAAAGCAATGAAGATGCCTATTTATGGTAGGGTACAGGAGAGAGGACTATTTATTATTACCATAGGTTCCAATAACCTTAAGTGAGAATATTATACCATGTTTTAGTTTGAGATATTTGACTTCTGAGATGCCAAAGGGAAGGTAAATCTTCCAGGTGTATGCTTTATATTGCCCATTGATATGATCACTGGTACCACACATAGTGTTTTGAGGCCAGTGATATAAAAAAGTGGGGTGGGGAGGAGAGGGGGAAAGAGAAATCATTAGGCAAAGTTAAGTGGGAAAGCAAACCCTGAAGCCATCAGTTTTCTACACTTGCCAATAACTTCAGACACTGGAGACGCTGGTATTGATTAGGACAAGGACACTCTGTGCACCATACACTTGCTTTCTCTCTGGCTTCAGCTGCTAATCCATTAGCTCTTTCCCAGCTGGACACTTCCCATTTTGGGGCTAAATTACCAAGCCTCACCCCCTCCAACCTCACTCTTACCTGTTCATCCTTATCCAAGTGCAGGCAAGTTTCCAAAGAATCAAAGCTTAGATCACCCTGAGTCCTAATGGGGATGGGAGGGGGGAAAGGGCTCATAACACACTGGAAGCAGAAAGAAAGCTGTTTCCTGTTGCTGCTGTGTGTTTTGATGAAAGCAGATTTCCCTGGAATAAACCCTCAGTTTGGAGACAGATACCAGATAGGAGAGCTGGGGGAGGGGTATGAGAAGAACAGCCAAGAACTCATGAGTATGGCCGATTGTTTAATACTTATGGCACAAGTTACATTTGCACTTCATATAAAAAGTATATTTTGGATATTAAAAGTGTATTTTATGTATTGCACACACCTCAGAGTTCAGTTTCCCTGAGGTATTATCATACCCAGCTCTTCTAACCAGCAGCTCTGCTTCTATGAAATACATCATACACCTAAGGATAAATTTGGCCACCACCTTTTTTTTTATCAGACTCCTCAACACCCAAGTGGTTAGCCCTGTCCAACTCAGTGGTCCACTCCATCAGCTTTTCCCTATGGTGAGTGCTTGGGATGTAAACAAAGCTGCATAGGGTGCCATCTCTGAGGCTCACAAGCCTCTCAAAACTGTGGACATCCAGGGATGGCTTGTAGGGTTGGGTTGCTCTGTCTTGTGGGTTGCTGGCCACTTGTGTGAAGGTGACTGGGACAGACTCTCTGTTCCCCCCTGGGAACATTGTCATCATAAGCAGAGTCATCTTCAGCTCCTGAGAAGACAAAAGCAAAGATTCTCAGGGTGTCTGTATTAGAGATAAAGGGGCACTGGGGAGGAAGCAGAGACCTGTCACACCCACAGAGACAGGGGCATTCTGGCTAGGATTGGTTGGTACGCAGACCGTGATGACAGGGTAGATAGCGGAGACTTGGATGTGCTTTCAGGGTGATCATGAATGAGAGTCACTGAGTGTCAACATTCAAACAATTGGCACAGTGACATAAACCCTTGGCAAGGTACCAAAGTACCTATTTCTTAACATCCTTTAAAAGAGGAAGTCTCTCACCTTCCTGGACTTGTGCATTCCTAACGACCATTATGAAGGGAATACTGGGACTAATGGACCATTCCCTACCATGATCCTCACAGTAAGGTACCGAAAACCTGACTGGGGCAGTAAGGGATAAAGAGAACAGGCACAACACATGAACAGAACAGTTGGGGGCAGGTGGCTGTGTCCCTCTGACGGAGGGCACCAACCTCAGAACATGCGTATGTGCAGCAGTGTGTGTGCTAATCTTGTACACACTGCTCAATCGTTCATACACATTTGTACTTGCACAGCGCTATCAACAGTCACATCCCAACTGAATCTAACACACATTTACTCAATGCTTCCTCAGCACCGAAATTCCCTGTATCTTTTCATCTCTGCCAAAAACTGCCACTAATTAAAAGAGAAATCAGATATTTTAAAAAAGCCTTAGAACTTTCTGTACTAATATTAACACTAAGCCTCCCTGGTGGCAATAATGACTTCAGCATCTCCCTTGAGTAGAGACAAAATCATTCCCTTCTACGGTCTGATTTCCTATTGGCATCTAACTAATGCTGTTGGGTAAATAGAAAGTTAATGGGTACCCTTTCAATTGTGAGGGCCCAGAGCAACAGAAATGGGCCAGTGGATGGGTAAAAACGAACTACAGACAGAGATTATTGTCTGGATTCAGGAGTCAGCCATTCCTGACTCTGGACAGTGTCCTTGACAACCGTTTCTTTGCTTTGCTTTATTTAAAAAAGACATCTTTTGTTTAAGTGTTATGTGTGCAGGGGAGTTATATGCACACAGTGCTGGTGTCTGCTGCATCCAGAGGCAATGGGTCTCCTGGATTCAGAGTTACAGGTGTTACAGAGTTACAGCCTCTGCCAGAGCACTACACACTCTTAACTGCTGAGCCATCTCTCTAGCCCTGACAATTAGTTTCTTCATTTCTTCAGCAGCATCTGAGGAACAGAGTCAGGTTAGAGCTGCCAAGCAGGAGAGCAGCATGGTTCTTGGCACAGAGGGTCAGCTATGGTGGTGACCAAAATGACAGGCAGTGTTTGTACAGACAGTGTGGTACAAGTTTCTCGGGCCATTGCACAGCACTCCTTTGTTCCAGTGTTTTCTTCTCTCAGAAAGTCGAGGAAAACAGCATCCTAGCTCAGATACATAGTAAATGGACAGTCTGGAATTCCTACAGTCTGGATATTTCCTACAGGCTCACTGCATGCTACAGTTTTTGTTGTGGCTAGAGATGCAGAAATGAGCAGACCTAGAATTGTCTCTAAACCCACAATCTAGGAAGAGAAATCCTTGTGTGACCAACCATAAAAATTCGATAGGATGAGCAGAGCTCAGGAGCAAAACAATTATTCTTCCTGCTGTGCTAGTGTGAACACAGCCCACATCTCCACTCTCCAGCACAACAGCAGTGAGGTGGGGGAGCCAGTAGTTGATAAGTGAGTCCCCGTCTGGGGAAGTGAGTGACTCTCACGCATGGGAGGATGTGTAGAAGGCACCATCTGGCTCTTACCAGACATGGACGTGATCTTGGACCTCTCAGCCTCTAGAACTGTGAGAAATACACTTCTGTTGTTCTTATTATCCAAAAACGAGGCATTGTGCTTCGAGCCTGAATGGACTATGGCACTCGCCTACCAAGAAGAAAAGGGGAGTTTCACCAAGGAGCCATTTGAAAGCCACCCCAGAAGTCATGTAGGTCTTTTATATTTTTTTATTTTATTTTGTCATGTAGGTCTTTAAGGGACAGCAGTTAAGGGTTGTCAGAGGGTTGACACACACTGTTGATCATACCCAATGGGGCGGGACAGGTCCCCAAAGTGTGGTATGGGGGGGTGCTCTGTGGACAGAGATGTTTTAGAAACATATCCACTCTTTCCCAGTTTGAACAAGTTATAAATTTGTACTAGAATGTTATTAAAGAATTTGTTTCACTCATACCTGCCAGCACACCCCCACACACAATCCTTTCCCTTGGGAGTCACTAGTATTCATGTACCTAGGTGGGAAAAGCAGGACTGCAGAGGGAGGGACATGGGTGGCACCATGGCACCCTGTTGGCTACCGAGGCTGGCACCGGATACTGCAGAATGGTACCGGTCTGCCAGCATGCCAGGCAGACATCCTAGAGGCTGGGATTCCCACATGAAGTGTGGTGTTTCTTCTAAAGCCTCATTCCCACCTTGCTCACACTAAAGCAGGCCTGGTTATACTTGGAATTGGAATGCAATATCTGCCTGACTTATCAAATAAGGTATGCCACGTTAAAGATAGGTCAGGTGTGGGGCACTGGATAACCCGGCATGGTGGTGACTGCCTGGAATCCTGGCACTTAGGAAATGGAGGCAAGAGGATCCAAAGTTCAAGGTCATCTTTGGTGCATAGTAATGTTGAGGCCAGTCTATCTAAAACATAACTATTTTAATTGTGTGGGATTTTTACAATACAAAAAAGGGGTTAAAGAGAGAAAGAGGCAGAAGAGGGCAAGAAGGAGGAGAAATGGGGAGGGAGAGGATGAGGAAGAGGAAGGGAGGGAGAAGAGGAGGAGCTCATCTCCTAACTTCACGATCCAAAGGAACACTGAAACATTGTGCTACCTGCAAGCACAGAGTTCTTCCAAGAAGGTGTGTGGTATCTTCTGGTTTTGTAGCGGTTTTACTACTCTCACTCTGGGGGCCCAACTTAATTTAGTACCCCCACCCCCACCCCCACAACCACCATCATGTCCCAGGAGGCAACTGCAGTTGCTCAAGGAGGTGTATTTGCTAGTTTGTGGGGACAGGAACCTGCAATGGTAAACTACAAATAGAAATAGAACACTTTAAAATGATGATGACAGCCAGGCTTGTGAGCAACTGGCAAGCAGTACCCAGTACAGTTCCTTCAGCAGCATCTGCCCTCTCCAAGGAGCTAGTGCTGGTGATCTGGGCTGCGTGTGGTGGACATTGGCAGAGTGGCCTCCACTATGTGTCGGTTGAGACACAACAGATAATTCAACCCTGGCCCAGTAAACAAAACACGATTTGATGACTGATAGCAGAAACAAAACCAGGGATCCATAGATTGAGTTTCCAGTAAGTAATTCCCTAGACTACCCCATACAGAGAGAGAACATGTTAGAAGCTAGAGAACAAGAGTCTAAATGCACAGAACTGTCTTCCTGTGGATGACATCACTCCTTTAAAATAGCCACCAGTTTCCCCTCCTGGGTAAATACAGGTGTCTAGGGAAAATCAGTTGCATGGGATTACCACCAAAACAAAACAAAACACCACCAAAGATTGCTTCACTTTGATCAAAGAGTGTCTTCTTGGGTTGTTTAGACTCAACTGAAAGGTTTTCACCTTCAACTCTTCAACCACTACCAGCCCCTTGATGACACACAGTTAACTGTATTGTTAAGGAGTGCACAAGCCAGTTGTGGTGGATCCTGCTTGTGACTCCAGCACTCAGAGCCATCAATCCCCAGGACCCACACTATGGCACTATGGAAGGAGACTGACTCCAGCATGCCCTGATCTCCACACCTACACTGTGCGTGCACACACACACACACACACACACACACACGCACACGCGCACGCACACGCACACGCACACGCACACGCACACGCACACGCACACGCACGCACTAAATAAGTAAATAAATGTAATAAAATCAAATCTCATTTTGAGTGACAGCAACACTGATGCAGCACTGGGTAAGAACTTTATACAGTATGTATACAGTCTAAGCACCAGGTTACAATTCTGAGGCATTGGCCTAAATAACCTCTCTGTCAGTCTCATAAAGCCCTATGAGGTACATGCTGGGATTACGATGCTGAGTTTTGTTTTAATGTGTGTATACATGTGTGTACACATTTATGTGAGTATTGGTTTATGTGTGTGCATGCGTGTGTACATGTGGGCTGCATGTGTGTAGGTGAGAGGTCAGTTCTGGGTGTCATTCATCAGGCACTGTCCACCTTGCTGTTTGGCACAGAGAAGCTGACACAGATGGGCTAGGTGGCCACAGCGCCCTGGAATCTGCTGGTCTCTGCCTGCACAGTGCTGGGATTACACGCGGGCTGCCATGCCCACTTTTAACATGTGTCCTGGGGATTGCTCTCAGGTCCTCATGCCTGTGCAGCCAGGACTTGACAGGCTGAGCTGTCTTCTCAGCCCTGCTTTTTCTTTGAGATGGGCCATTGCTATTGCATTAGCTGAGAAGAAGGGGATATCACATCCCAGGACTGAAGATGCGGGCCCAGGGAGACTGGGGACAGAATTCTGCTCTAGTTATGCTCTGTGCAGGCTCCCTAATGTAGTCAGCCACAGGAACCAGCACCTGTTCTAAAACAGCTATGGGGGAAGAGAAATCTGAAAGGGGGAAAAGGGACTCCCACCGCAAAGTAAGTGGGCTCGGTTACACTGTGCTCTCTTACAGAAATCTAATGTCCCCCACAGGTTGGGCAGGAGCTTTCCTCAAGAAAAAGAGCTTCCTCTTCCGGGTCTTGTCAGACTGTCTGCCTCTTCAAAACAAGTCATCAGTTTACAATGGGGAGAAGTGGAGACAAAGTGCCAACTGTCTGGTCAGCAGTCACTGTGTGTGCTTGCAGCAGAAACCCCAGGAAGTCTTGACTGCGTCTCACAGACACTGCAACAGAAAGCAACAGTTCAAAGTGGCATGCTCCACTCAGTCGCACTGCTACTTCCAAGACTGGAAGTCCAAGTCCACACCTTCCCTTCGGAGCCAGCAGTTCATTAGTGGGGAAAACTGAACTCCTATTTCATGCCAAAATAACAAGGTGTAATAAAGGGCTGGGAAGATGACTCAGGGGTTAAGGACAATTGCTCATGTCAGGCAGCTTAAAACAGCCCATAGTTCCAGTTCCAGGGGATCTGATGGCCTCTCTGGACACCATAGGCACCTGCACACACACAGGGTATAGTCTCACATACATACACACACAGGGGTGGGGGGCAAGAAATATTTTTAAAATTCCTACAAACATTAGTTTTGTTTTCTTTTAAAAATAATGAAGATTCTCTTTAAGCAAAACCCATTTGCCATAACAGAAAGTGGAGACAAAACAGGGTTTCCACCCCGAGAACTATCTGGTTTTCATTCACTTATCTATTTTTAACACTTGATTATAATGAAGCACAAATGAAGACCAGCTAGTCTAAGGAAGCCACTCACACAGGCACTTACTTCCCCAGTACCAAACTCTGAGTGTCTCAGTGAAGTTCTACACAGTGAGGTCAGCCAGTCTATACAGTGAGATAGGTCAGTCTATACAGTGAGGTCAGCCAGTCTATACAATGAGGTCAGCCAGTCTAAAGCCATGGAACTTAGCTTGGTGCTTTAAACTTTAACTATCAATTACATTTTATGGACTTATCTACTACATACAAACAAAACAAAACAAAACAAAACAAAACAAAACAAAACAAAATTTGACAGAGTTCAAACTAGAAAACCAAGGAGAATGAAAAAAACACTATTGTTTATATTAAAAAACTGAATGTAGATAAAATCAAAGATAAATGATGGGCTAAGAAAACTATTTGTAACATATAAGACAGATAATATGTGAAATTTAGATGAAGATACATCACAGAGGTAGAGTCTTTGCCTGGCTCATGACATATATAGATAGAATGGTTAATTATTATACTTAAGAAAATTAATATACATACATATATAAGTATAAATATATAAAGTTTAACCTCCCCAAAATGATGACATAGTATAAACAGAAAATATAATAAGCTCAGGCACCATTTAAAAAGTATTTTTGGGACAACAAGATGGCACAGCAAATAAGGGTGCTTTTTGCTAAGCCTAATGACCTAAGTTTGACTCCTAGAACATAAATGGTGGAAGAACCCACTCCTGCAAGTTGTCCTCTGACCTCCATACTCAAGCATGCATGCACAGACTCACACACACTAATGTAATAAAAAGGTATTTATAAACAAGGTGCTATTCTTATCTATTATATTAGCAAATACTAAAATGTGTGATATTCAAACTAAGATTGGTAGGACTTTGGAAAAACTACATTACTTGCTCACAAGCACTAGACCTCTAACCCTTTTAACTGTCAGGACCTAACAACACCCTCCATTATGTAAAAAGAAGTTCTCTTTGATGCATGCTAGAATATCAACAGCCTTAAAACATAGACCTGAAAAAAGCCAGAAGCAAAAACAACATGTCCCAGGCGCTTCCTAGGAATTATTAGAGAGTGCCTAGTAGGTGATGGAGCAGTCTCAGGGGAGGCACCTGACCTCCCTTGACCATGTTCTGTCACAAGGCCCCTGGAGAATGTACCCAGAGTCCTTGTTGGCAGCAGAGTTTTCTTTCTTCTTTTTTCCATTCATTTATTTAGCTCATAAATAAAGTCATGCACAATTACGATACAGAATACAGTATGTTCACAATGGCATGGCTAAATTAAACCAGTTAACACGTTATATCACACATATTCATCATTTTTGTTTTGAGAACACTTAAAGTATTTGAGAACACTATCTCACAACTTTTAAAATATAGCATATTGTTATCAACCATATTTATGATGCTCTCAGTAGACCTCAAGACTTCAGAGAGTCCATGCCTCTTGTCCAACTGCAGTTTTATATCCTTAAACCAATCGTTTCCCCATTTTTAAAATCCCCACATAAAAGCCTAATAGCCACAATTCTGCTCTCTGTTCCCATAAGTTCATCATTTCTAGGTTACACATAAAATTGAAATTGTGTGACATTTGTCTTCCAGTGTGTCACTTTTTTTTTTTTTTGGGCAAGAAAAAAACTTTACTACTTACTAAAGATGAAATCAAATTTGCATGCACAGGTGAGCACTCACTGAAACACCTTGGATTCATCACATATTTGAGTTTCAATTAACATATATATATTCTCTCTCTATATATATATTCTCTCTCTCTATATATATATATATATAGAGAGAGAGA